TCTTAATGAATCTGTGGCAGCAAAGTAGGTGAGGCGCTTGTCCTGCCAAGGCTGCTTGGCACGGCTGGAGTCACGTAATCGTGCTCAGCTGCCAGCAGGAACAGAGCAGGAAGAGTTAACGTGGGGACAGCTTGGGGACAACTAATTCCAGCAGGACGGGTGGCACAGACCTGTCCTTCCACACCTCCCCCTCACCGCAGCCCACCTCTTCCTCTCCCACCTCCACCCTTCACTCATTTCTCCCATCTCCATCACATTGTCACTCCTCCCCCGGCCCCTCCCGTGCCCTGCTCTCTCCATCCAGCACGTTCCCCTCCCGCACGCTCCGAGTGGGAGTGAGGGGCCGTACGTTTGGGCTGTGGTGGAGGTCACAGCTATATGGGGATTGTTTAAAAGAGATTTGCCCACATCCCAGCCCATGTGACCAGCCTCAGCTGCAGGTCTCTCTTTCTTAATCTGGAGATAAGCGTGATTATCCGAAGAAGGGCTGTTCGGAGCTTTGTAACTGTGACAGGGGAGCTTTCAAGTCGCACTTTGCTGGCAGAGCAGCGTTTAAAGCCGGGGAATCAGATTCCAAGCGTGGCTTTGCATCTCTTTGCTGCTGGGAGCATGGCGCAGGGCTGGCAGCAGGGATGGGAGCTTTATTAGGACTTTGCTTATGATGCGGAAAAGGAACCGGGGGAAGGAAATGAGGGGAAAAAAAATCCCAATTCACCATTTCCCGATCGGTGGTGGAATTACAGCGATGCTCTGCTTCCAGGAGGGCAGTGGGGTCCCATTGGCCTCACATTTGGGGAGCAGTTTGATGGCCAGGAGGTTCTGCTGCTTTCAGTGCCATGCAGCGCGGGCGTGTTGTGTCTCTTTGCTCTGAGTCCCCATCCCTGTTGCACAAGAGGTCCCCAGGGCCCTGTTTGGAAATGAAATGCTTGTGGCAGCTGGGGATGTTGTGCCTGGCTGTCCCCAGGACCCCATTCACAAGCTTGCTGGAGGTGTGTCTTGGTGGGATGTGGGGATGTGGCAGTCGTGTGGTTTAATGCTGTGTCTTGCCATCTCATACCAAGGGCACAGTCCCCAAAGGCTTCTTGCACCAGGGCAAGCATCAGAATAGGCTTTAGTGGAAAGAAGCAGGCGCTTCTCTGCTTCTATTTGTAGAATAAAAACTCCAAGCAGAGACTCATCACTGTGTCTCTTTTGATGGAGATGGGTCAAGGAGAAAGAAACCTGGATCTAAGCCAGGGGCTGGAATCTGGGTCGAGGCTGAATGAGGACTGAGTGCCAGCAGCGCTCCGGCCCGTTGCTCGGGCAGCACTCGCTGTTCTTGCTGTATCCTCCTTGGAAGGGGTTCAGCTTCAGGCCAGCCTGATCCAAAGGACACCTAAACACCCCTCCTGCTTGCAGCCACTCATTGCTAGAGCTGGTGTGAATCTGCAGCCCCTTCTGCTGGGTTTATTTGAGGGGAGCAGTTTTTTTGCTTGTGTCTCATGATACAGAAAGATATCAGATGCCTTCATGGAAGAGAGAGAAGGACACATCTTCTCTTTGCATAGTTTGGCCATGGTGGGTAGTCAGCCCAGGTGAGAAGTGGGGCAGGACGCATACAGGGGTGGAGATGTGTGTCTGTGGGGCTGGCGGCTCAATGTACCTCCAGCAGTTGCAGGAGGGAAGTGGTTACAAATACGTCATCTTGAGTGTGTGCTCTGCACTGTCTCCTACATGGTCTGCTGTCCCTGGAGCCCCACACAGCCGGTCTGTGGGTGGGAGCTCTGTTTTCCTTCTACCCCTGTGAACCTGATTTTTTGTTATTTTTCTCTGCGTGCCGCTTACATGAATCCTCTTCAGTGCCTACAGCTTATTCCGTGGCTTTACCAAGGATCTGGCCAACATATGTAGCCTTCCTCCAGGGCACAGCTCTTTGAGAAGCTCCAAGCTGGACACAGCATGTTTTCCCAGTGGCTGCAGGGCTGAGCAGTCCAAATCCCGCATTGCACAGATCCCACACGTGCCCTGGGTGGGGGAGAAGCAGAGCTCCCCCCGCTCCTGGCAGCCTGGGAGCAGCAGAGGGAACGTGGGCAGGAGCATGGAGGTGTTGGCGGGTGTGGGCAGGAACACACGTGTGCTGGGACAGCCGTGCCCATCTGCACCAGCATGGTCACATGTGTGCCTGCGTGGCAGACCATCCCCGTGCCCCTCACCTTCCTGAATCTGTGGGGTACAGGGGCAGAATGGAGGCATCCCTTTTAAGAACCTTTTAAATGGAATTGGATCTCTAAGAGAAAGGGTTGAATTGATTGCAAGGGTTGATTTATCTGCTGGATGTTTCTGCCAGTTTTCTGGGCATGCACAGGCTCAGAATTGCCAAGGTGGGAAGGAATTGACAAGTACTGGTGTGTCAAAGCAAGACATAAAGAACTAGAGCTATGTCCCCAGCTCACCCCAACCTGGCACTCAGGAACATCTCAGTTCTACAACCCACTGGGGCTAGCTCTTCACCAGAAGAGCCTCCTCCTGTTTGCACATCCGTAGCACGTTTCTGTCTTGGCCTGACAGTGGGATGGGATGGCCAGGGACAAACAGACAGCAGAGCCCAGGCACACCAGGACCCTAACAGCCCTGCATAGAGAGCTTCTTATGGGTTGAAGGTAGATGGAGGGACGTGAGGTAGGGTGATGCTGCATGGAGCAAAAGGGCAGGTGGGTCTCAGTAGAAGTGACTGAGAGATTTGGAGGTGGGAGCAGGATGGAGGGAACCAAGCTGGGCCTGCAGAGGGTGGTTTCCAAAGGTGAGCTGAGCCCAGCAGCCAGGGCAAGGTTTGGCGGAGAGCAAGGGGAGCTGTGGAGGAATGTGATCTTGCTATGAGGAATGGGAGAGCTGCTGCAGGGCTGGAGGAGGGACTGGCACAGGAGTGATGCAAAGCTGTGTCACCTGAGTGTCCCTTGTCACGGTGTAGGGCAGTTCCAGGTTTTGCTTTGTTGCTGTTGCTCAGAGCCATTTGCTGCAAAGCCCCCAGCACATTGGTGCATGAGTCCACTTTTAGTGACACAAAAAACAACAAATTTGACCCCCCAAAAAATATTTTTTTTCCTTGCTACCTCATTGCCATAGTAACAGAGGTCCTGAGGACACCTCCATGAAGTAGGTCACAGCAGACCCCGGTTTGCTGCTGCTCATGGCCAGTGCTGGGCATCCCCAATGGTGTGAGCATGGCTGGGCTGGAGAGATGCCCTGCAGTGGGGTACCCCATGGCCATGCCCTGGTGGGGACACCATGACATCACCCAGGTGCCATGGAGGGCTGTCCCCACGCCCAGACACCGATCGTGGGAAACTGCCATCCCTCCTGTTGGTGTCCCCAAGTCAGGGCTCCCTCCCATCCCCCTCCGCCTCCCTCCCCCCTTTCACTGGAGCCTCTCTCCTTCTGATTTGCATAATTTTCCATTTTCAGTGTCCCCTTTTCTTTTTCTCCTCTCCATATGGTGCGTCCCCCTCTCTGCCTGGTGCAGGAGCCTTCCTTAACAAGCTCGGCAAAGCCCTCTCTCTCAGGGGCTGCACATGAAAGATGCTCTGTAAAAACAGAGGCCGGCAAGGAGCCCTCCCCCTCTCCCCCTTGATTTATAAGGGGCCGGGATGTGGGAACGTTCCTGGGTCGTGCTTTGGAGCCGTCGGGTGTTTGCAGCCGTCTGCAGTGCCTGTTTGCTCCATCCATTCAGCACAGACCCCTACGGCTGGCGCTCCCCGCGTCTTTCATCTGCAATGCAAAAAGAGTGGTGGGGAAAGTTGGTGCCTCTCTTGCGTGTCCCAGGCTTTGCTTTCGGCTGTTGAGGGATGCTCTGTGCCTGCTGCTTTGGGGTTGGGCTGTATTGCTGTTGCTGCCCCACCTGGGACGCAGGTGGCAAAAATGGCACAAGTGAAACAAGTGGCACAAGCTCTGTGACCAAGCAGCGTTTGCCATTCATTCACCACTCATCATCTTCTCCATCCCAGCCTGGGCTTTTCCACCACCCCCATCCCCAGCAGTCCCATGGCAGTGTACATAGGTACAGACCCCACTGCCCCCCGTGGGGATCCCACCAGTGCCGTGCTGCTGGGCAGAGGGTGCCAGCCCAGCATTTGACGGGTTAAGCCGGTCTCCAGCTAATTTCTCCCAGCGCTCCCCTCCTCCTCGCGCTTCTGTATGCAGCAGGCAGGGCCTCCGCGCAGGTTCCTGCACTGAGCTGTTGCCAGGGGAGTAGTTAGGCGAGTCTGAGCTATGCGGGGAAAAGGCCCGGGCTGTCAAAGTGTCTGAGATGAACCATAGCCCGGTCCCCCTGCAGCTGGGCCCAAGCATGCATCAGCCCTTGTTTGGAGCCTGGGAATGGCAAAGCCCAGGGAGGTTCAAGGGCAAACTTGCTATTCATTAGTCAGGGGTCCTTGACGTTCCCACTCTCTGTCTCCCTTCTTCTTCTTCTTCTCTTTTCTGTCCCTCTTTTGACAGATTCCTGGGTGCTTTGGGGGAAAGCTCCCCTCCTCCTCGCCCTGCCAAAAGCCCTCCCCATAAAATTCCCTGCAGACAGGCGAGGGGACGACAATGACGGCACCGAGAGCTGCATCCTGCGGGCATCCTCTGCCCCCCGGTGCCGTGCACGATGCACACGCTCCAAGTGAGCTGCACATCGCCCATGTTTTATCACTGTGATGCTCACAGGAAATTGTAACTTGAGATAAGAAAATGTCAGCAGCATTCTCCTCTCACTGAGCCCAAAGCACCATGAAGTTCCTCCATAGGAAAAGCAACCAGGTGCACAGGGCGGGTGTGGGATGGAGAGAGCGGTGTTGAAGATCGTAAAGGTTGGAAAGACCATTAAGATCATCCAGTCCAACCGCTAACCTGTCACCACCACGCCCAAATAGAACCCACTCCCATTGCATGCAACGTTTCATTGCTTGAAGAATCCAAAGCTCACTTGTAATTACCCAAAGCAAACAGCACATCTTCTTAGTTTCAAATGATTTTTCCTTCCCCAGGCACCTGGAGCAGAACGGAGGTGTAATGCTGAGGAGCTGCAGGGGAGAGCAAGGCTTTGGTCACTTTGGAGTTGGAGATCTTGAGCCAGGGAAGAGGTATGAAGGCTCTATTTGCATGAAAGTGTGTGTGTGTGTGTGTGCAAAACAAAAGATTTTGGAGGCTTGAAAAATGCAATCAGGGATGGAAGGGAGGAAAAAAAGGGGAGGGACAAAAAATCGACAGTGAATAAGGATTTTCAAAGTAACACCTCGGCACGATTAAATTGTCCAGGAAGTTTCGCTGCACAGACGGAGCAGGGCTGAGCTGGGGGAGGAGCAGAGCCCCTCCTTCCTGCCCGGCCCCAACAACGGGGCTTTGGCACACGGCGGTGGTCCCGTCAGGCAGAGCTGCCTGCGTTGGTGGGCTGGCATTGGGGGTTCCACTATTGAGGGTTCTGTTCTTGGGGGTGCCATCACTGAGCATACTGCTGTTGAGGATGTCACTATTGGGGATGTCTTTGTTGGTGCTGGGTTCCACACAGCTGGCTCCTCCTGCCCCAGTTACCCAGTGCTGACAGGTGCAGCACTGTAGGCAAGTGGATGGTGTCCCATTGCAGTGAGCATCCTCTTCATTGGCATGATAGTTGAGTTTCTCAGTATGAAGCAAGCTCCTGTGGCACTGCCCAGGGCACCAGCATGGGTTTTCCCTGGTGAGCACAATGACTCAGCACCTCCTTCCCCTCCTGAGCTTGGGGATGTGCTCACCACCCTTTGTGTCCCATCATGTCAGGACATTTGGGGTGACTTTGTGTAATTTAGGACAACGCAGCATCGGTCTGCTTCCCAGCCTGGCTCTGTGCTCCCTGCACACACACACACATCAGTGTGGGGTCTGCCCTTGGTGAGTCATCCCAAAACCAATGCACATAGGCTGCATTTTTCTTCTGCCCCTCTAACGTGTAGGCTTGCTTCAAAGTTGTGCAAGAGAAAAGGGATTTTCCTTGGATTCCCACCAAGCGCTCTATGAATATTGCAATAAAAGGGTTACAGGAGATAACTATTTTTAAGAGAAAAAGAAAGAGGGAAAAAAAAAAAACAAAAAAACAACCACCCATGGAAATGGCAGCCCGGACCCCAGAGTGAGGAGTATTTGCACAGTTCAAAGAGTGGCGGCGGTTCACGCAGCCGCAGCCCGGGAGTGCAGCGCTGCGACCTACAGCGGAACGCACGGCGTTGCTCCCAGGGCGCCTCATTAGAGCCACGCTGAAGATTTATCTCTTAAAATGGGCTCGCAAATATTTTATAAAATTTGCAATATTTTATAAAATTACGATTTGGTGCACTAAAAAGAATAAATGAGCTGCCTGACGGTGCTTTTTGCGCCCTAGATCCAAGCGCGGGGAAGAATTAGAGGTGTGTTTGTCTTTGCTCTTCCCAGCACAGCAGTTTATAAGCAAAGCAAAGGGAGGATGGCGAAGGATGGGGCTGGGCTCTTTGCTAGGAGTCCGTGCTTGTGGATAACGCAGAGAAAATGGAGGAAAACTCAGGGAAAAGAGAGAAGGACCTGCTATAGGATGTGGGGTAAAAGCTGCAGGGAGAACCATGAGGGGACGAGGGCACTTTGGCTCAGGATCACAGCTTCGGCCGCAGCTCTGCGCCTCATAGGTATCACTTTCTACAGGCAGCCAAGGGCGCTGAGGGCAGGGAAAGTTAACGTGAAGATTAAAACATCAGAGGGCTGCTCCTTTAGTGGCTCTGACATGCAGAGTAATCCCATGCCCCAAAGCCTGTGGGGAAGGACTGGCGGCAGCCCCTCGATTGGGCAGGGGGAGTGCAGGGCCACGGCTCTGTGGGTCAGGAAGGGGTGAGGTGACACGGGGCGGGACGGCAGCGGGTGGTGGGGTGTAAATGGGGATGGGGTTGGGGCCTCGGTCCATCCGTGCTCCCAGTGCTGTTCTCAGCTTCTGCGATTCTGTGTGCTGATGAAGAGATAGCATCCTGTGTGCTTTTCCTTTCCTTCCCAGATCCCAGCGAGAGGAGAAGAGATGTCCCCAGCCTGACAGCTCCTTCCCGGCTGCGCTCTGCCCGCGCTCTGCCTGATGTCTCCGTGTTCTCCACGAGGGACCCAACCTGCCATGGCCCCAGCAAGAGGCAGCATTGGCTGCTGGATGTGGAGGGGTTCTGCATTGCTTCGCACCTGTGGGGAGGGAGCCAGGGGAGGGGAAGTCTGGCAAAAATCCTACATAACTCTTGTACATCACCTCCAGGACCCAAATACCCCTGGGTAGAGAATATTTTTTATATATATATATATATAGTTCTATATATAGAGAGAGCGCAATATATATATAGTGAGCACTGTCCCAGCTGGGTGCAGGGATGTTGGTGGGAGCAGGAGGGAGGTCTGAGCAGGACGGATGCTGTGTTTAGGGGCTCTGCTCATGGAGCAGAGCTTGGCCTATGCTGTCTGTGTGTGTGTGATGGACTGACCGTGGGTTGACCACGCCTGGTCCAGGCAGCGTTCCATTGCACTGTAAGAAAAATTCACTGTAATTCTCCCCTATTAAAATCGACCCCACCCCATGCACTGTTGCAAATAAACACTCCTTTCTGCAAAAGCTAGTGTGTGATGTGGTATGGTACTGAAACAGGAGGTGATGGGCGTGGAGCTGCCTGCAGACACATCATGGGGAGCACGGGAGCAGCCCAGAGCCGAGCGCTGCGCTGCGCCCCAGCGAATGATCTCTATTTGGTCTGAGCCCTGTCTGGGAAGTCGCCGTTAAACCCAATGCAAACAGCCCCTGTGAAAGGGCATAATGAATATGTCTCCGGAATGATTTGGAGCTCCTTCTGCTTGCAGAGCGGGGTTCCCCATTGTGCCCGGCTCCCGGCGTGCTCTCGGCAGAACGCGCGAGGTGGCTGCTTTCCCAGCTGAAACCCGAAAAAAGCAAACAATGGGTCAAGGCCCGCATTGTGTGCGCCCAGGCAGGCAGAAGGAGCGCAGCCCGGCATGGCCAAGTTCAAGGCTGGGCAGGGGGCCGGGCGTGCGGGGATGCTAATGGGGCTGTGCTGAGTGGGGGGAGCAGGGGCTCTGCGTGCCGTTATCCTAAAAGCACCTTGCAGGGCAGCAGCGGGGGTGATTGCTCGCTGTAGCAAGGGGTGCTGATGCTGCTGGGAGGGATTTGAGGTGCTGGGATGAGTGGGGGTGGTGGTGCTTGCTGGGGTGGGTGAGTACCACTGAGAGTAGTGGTATTGCAGGTGGATATCAGTGGGGATACTGGTGCTGGAGGGTTGCAAATGGATATCGTGGGGAGAAAACAATGCTATAGGGACAGGGAGGAGATGGCACGGTGCACCACTGCCCAGGTTGCTCCTGCAGGATGGGGCTGCTTTTGGCATCTCTGCCTGCAGAGGATGCGGGCACGGCTCAGCCCCTCCCAGCAGCCGCCTCACCCCCCCCCGCATTCCCCCTTTTCCCCGCCGGTTCCCCCGTTGCGGCGCGGCTCCCCCCGGCCCGGATGAAGTGTGTGGAGACAGGCGGAGCGGCCCGTGGAAAAACACCATGGAGGGCCCGCACAAAGGGGGTTTTATTCAAATTTGTTTAGAGTTTAGCGGATTTGCATGAAAAATGTGTGAGAAAAGCCGGCTCCAATGACCTCATCCCCAGCTGCCATTAATGTTCAATTAAGTGCTGAATAGCGGCAAAGGGGGGACCGGCCGGGACGTGCAGAGAATCCAGGCTCGGGAGCAGACTGTGAGAACCGGGCGGCCCCCCCCCCGGCCGTCTGGCAGCCCCTCCCCGGGCGCGGCGCCCCGACGGGATCCCCCAGCCGCCCCCCTCGCACCGGGAGCAGCGTTCAGCCCTCCGAGTGCCCCCGGCTCGGCCTGAATCGAGGGGGACCCCTCCGGGGGGTGTCTGGGAGGGGGCGATGCCCGCCCGAAGCTGTCGGCCGGGGCCCGGCCGGGGCAGAGCCGCTCTCCGCTTCGCAGACGGTGTCAAAGCCCAAGTTCAAGTCCACGCCGAGGGGCTCTGCCCCGGGATTCCCGGCTCCTTCCCATCCTCCGCCTTTTGTTCGCCTCTGACAATTGCTCTTTATTTCTTACACACCCCCCAGCCTCCCCCCACAACCCCCCCCCTCCTTCCCGCACTTGGCACCGTTTAGCTGTCTGCCTGCAAACTTAACAACCCCGGTTCTTGGTATAAGCACTCCAATTCCCCCTCTTTCCCTGTATAAACGCAGCTCTCCCTGGGTGCGGCCCCCCCCGGGCTCCACGCAACGGCCCCGGCCCATCGGGTACAGCCGCGGCCGGAGCGAACTTCCTGCTCTGAGACACACGGGAGCGAACCGGATCCGCACAGCCCTCCCGGAACCGCCCCCAGGCTGTGCTGCCCCGGGACAGCGCTCAGGTAAGGGACCCCCACCCTACTGGTGTGATGGGGCGCTGGCACGGGCACGTTTATGGGCTATCTTTCTGCATCCCCCCCACCCGACCCCGAGAATAAAACATCGCACGGAGGTTGTGCCCCCACCCAGGCCCGGGGCTGCCTGGCGCTGCCTGGCGGGGAAGGTCGGGAGGCCACGGAGACTTCCCCAAACTTCCCGTGCTCGGCCTCTCTCCGCCCCCTCGGGAGGGGAACACCCACCTCGGAGCGGGCCGCTGGGCTCAGGGGGGACCCCGGCGAGAAGGCACCCCCGGCGGCCTCGCATCTGCAAGCCGGAGACGTCGGGACACCGGGCCCGCTGCCGTCGGAGAGGGAGGGTACCGAGCTCCCGGCGGGGCTGAGGGGACAAACCCCAGCTCCGCGTTCCTGCAGCCCGAGGGACGAGGTGGCACAGCCCCTCGGGCCGTCCGGTGCTGTTAGGGTGCCCATGGGTAGCACGGCACAAGGCGGGGTGTGCCGTCGGAGGCCACGGTTGTGCCTTCCTCCGGATTTGGTTGTCGGCTGAATTTAATTTTTTTGAAGGCAAAATTGGGTGAAGGAGATGAAATGAACCTTTCCACCCTCGATTAAAACAGAGAAAAGAGAAGGAAAGAACGAAAATACCTTACTTAGGGAAAGGGGACGGGATTTGGGAGAAGAAAAAAAACAAGGGAGTTGAAAGGCTGCGGGATATGGCATAGGGAAGGCGAGGGGGTCCCCGGGTGCCCGGACACTGCCTCACTTCGGGCACAGCACCGCGGTGCCCTTCTGCGGAGCTTCGGGGCGGGGCGGCCCTGCGCACATTCGTAGAATGTCACATAGCGCAGCATCACGGCGCGTAGCAATCCGGTGTCATAAAATACAGCATAACATGTAAATAGCGCTGTGCCGTGTTACAGGGATGTAGCGCTCGGCTCACGGCTCCGTGCTGTGCTCTCACCAACGCGGCCCCCCCCTAGGGGCTGTCACTACCCCCGTGACGGGGTGCCCCATTCCCATCCCCGCTGACGCCCGGACCGGGATCGCACCGTTTCCGCGCAGGCAGCGGGGAACCCCGCGCACCTTTCCCCACTGCGGTACCCCGGTGGGCTGCGGGGGGAAGTTGGGGGGATTTCTGGGGAGCCGCGGGGCGCAGCCACCCTCATTGCTCCCCGTTGGGTGCTCCACAAATCACAGCGCAGCAATCCGAACGGGCGCACGTTTAAAAATCGCAGCATTGTGGCACATCGGGGTGCGGACACGCCTGCTTTGGAAGGGGGGGGTTGAAGGAAGGTGGGGCGAGGCATTATTAGTATATATATTTTTTCTGTAGCTATTAAAAATAGAAAGAAAGAGAGAAAGAAAGAAAGAAAGAGGGAGAGAGAAAGAGAGAAAGAAAGAGCAAAGGTGACTCCAAATTTCGTCCCATCCGTGCATTCCCCCCTCTGCTGCTGGATAGGGATAGGTTCCCACCCCCGTGTCCGCACACGGCTATTTCTCCCTCTCCGATCCTCAGCGGACGAAGCGGGGGGGACAAACCACCTCCGGGGCCCCACCCGCGCCCTCGGGGCACCCGCAGCTGTTCTGCAGTGCCCGGGTAGCAGCGGCCGGGCCGGCGTCGGCGCCCCTCGGGTGGATGGAAAGGGACTTTCCCCCCCCCCCCACAGGATCGGTCGGAAATCAGAAATCCCCCGCGCATGGAAACGGCCCTTCCCCGGCGGGGGGGAGGAGGGGAAGGACGGATGGAGGGATGGAGGGGGAAGGAGGGATGAAGGAGGGCGGGAGGGGGGAAGGGTGCCGCGCCCCTGATTGGCTGCTTCAGCACAAAATCCGGCGCTGGGTTTGAGGGGAGGGGGCCCGGGGGATGTCGGGGGGCAGAGGTGGGCGCCCCCCGGCCCCCCCTCCCGGCAGCCATTTTGTGGCATTGCTCTGCCGTCGTGCCAGGGCCGGGGGGGGGACCCGGCGCCGCGCTCTGCCCTCGGTGGGGCTCGGGGTTGGGGGTAGCTCGGTGCCACGGTGGGAAATGTATTCCCTCGGCCGCCACGCTCGCCCATTGACAGAGATAAACATGCAAATGAAGCGATTTGCATGTCATTAGCATACAGGCAGATTGGGGGGGGAGGGGCTGCCTGTATGTGCGCACTGCAGCGTGTGGCAATGCAACACCCAAACAGCCATTGCCGAAGGCTCCTGGCAGCGGCACCTGAGGGCCCCGATTCGTCCCCTGATCACCCCTTATCTCCCGATGCGAGCGTAGCTGAGCCCCCCCGGGCCCCTCCGCACCCCGCGCTCCGTGCCCCCTTCCCGGCCGGGTGCGGCCCTGCGTGGCACAGGGACGGGCAACAGAGCGATGTGGCAGAGCTGAGACAGCGCGATCCTGGGGCTATTTCCCTATTTCCCCACCGTACACGGGAACAGAGGGGCTGGGGGGCTCGGTTCGGCCGCCGCCCCACTGCAGCCCCAAATCGAGCTGGGAAAGGAAATAAGAACCCGCAGAGATGCGGACAGACCGCGGCCCGGGTTGTGTGCAGGGCCAGACAGAAGGTTCTGGGAGCCCCCGGGGCTGGGGGACATCGGGGTGCAGCTCTCCGGGTACACCCACCTCGGGGTACACCCGCCTCGGGGTACAAACACCGCGGTGCATCCCTCAGGTCCCCCCCCTGCAGAGCATCCATCTCTTTGGGCACCGAGAACACCGCACACGCGGCCGTTCCCGCACACCCCGCGGGTATCGCTCTCCATACACTCGGAGGGCCCCCCCGGCCCCGCACCCCATTCTCGGTCGGCTGCGGTGCGGGAGCGAGCGGCTGCGCGATGCCCTGCGCACAACCCCGCGGGTTTTCGTTGAAATGGGATCAGCTCGCAGCTTCCTGCCCGCAGAGGGCCGC